AAGAATAAACGATTAATAGTCACTGATTACCAAATGACAACTGCGATAATATTACTGAGATAACTAATAGCCACAAGGCCACAATATTTTTAGTCTAAAAATTACTGCGATACAGTGCGATAATACTATTGTGAATGTATTTTTCTAGAGATAATTTCTATTCTATTTTTAACCCAGACGTAAACAATTTAATGACCAATATGCAACCAATTATATTATGCATCCATTACGACAATTACAAATAAATAATATCATTAATTCGTTAATTTAACATAAGACTTTTTATTCGTATATTTAATCAATCTATGGAGATATTGTATAATCGATATGTTGCAGAAATTGTACACATTATTTTCATTATTGATTTTCATGTAAATAAATAGATTTAAGCGTATTACTAATTATAACATTTTTTTTAGGAAATAAGATTATTTATAATAAACGCTCTCTACATTTTTATCGTAAGTAGAATAGTTTATGAGATAATTAGGAAAAACTGAAAAACTACCCTAAATTCAAATAATCAACCCTCTTGGGGCACGTCTTAGGTTCAATCAATCTTGACCAAATTTTACTCACATTATTTTTATATGCATAAGATCAGGTTTTAGGGGTCTCACTTCAAAAATGTTGAGAAAAAAATGTTACCTCTATTACTAAGGACCACCCTAATGAACAGTAAATCAATATGATTTACTTTCTCCTCGTCGACAACTTTCAGCAGAAAAACAATATACGTCATAGATTTTAATAGGGAGTTTAATTTTTTCTCCAGTCCATAAACATTTATACTAACAGTAGGATTTTTCCGTTCAAAAATTTTAACTTCATTCAAAGGCGTTGGGAACGAAAAACCCGTGAAGTCATATTTTTCAGCATGTTGGTGGTAATTATTCCCGATACGACACCTGTTTCGACTAGTGACATGTTTTGCCAGAACACTCCACTTAAAACAGTGTCTATCGTTATTCTGTGGATTGATTGTTCCCCGTTTTCTCTGTATACTACTTGGTAATGAAATATATGTCACACCATTTCTTTCCATACCCTGATCTCTGTCACCTTTTTCGCTATCATTATTTCCGTCACTTTCACCACTACCATTGCTTTCATCATCACTAACATTATTTTCGATACCACCGTTATTTTCACCACCACAACTACTACCATTATTTTCGATACCACCATTATTTTCACCACCACCACCTCTACCACCGCTACCATTATTTTCGTTATCGTTGTTTTGTATACGCTCAGAGACATTAGAATATGCAGCGCCAAGCATAGGTGTATACTTATAAACTGTATGATACCATCTATGTATTGTAATGTGAACCCACTTCCGCGTGAAATGTATGTTTCTTCTTTCTCTAATAGCTTTCCGTAGGTATGCCTGATCAATTATTTCGTCTAAATCTGAATCTAAGAAAACCACCCTAGCCGATGTCTTAAATGATATTCTCGGACGAGTTTTCAATGTTCACTCTGTGATACGTAGCTTCCAGTTTCAAATTAAATTTAATCGTATTTTTTTGAACAAATGATTTTAATAATTTTTTTAAATCGAATTTAATTGATGCGAGATAAGTAATATAATCTTGAATATTTGATACATTTTTGGCGAAATAATTGATCACTATCCTATTATGCGATGAACTTATTTCTATGAATCCTGCCTCCTGAACTGTTTGCATTCGAATGTTTTTACAATTCTTAGCAGTTCTTGTGTTTTCTACGTGTTTGCACTTACCCCCTTTCGTAGTTATATAATAATCTAAATTATTTAAAAATAAATAAATAAATAAATAAAAAAAGTAAAATCCTAATACCCCTTCAATAATATTAAAATAAATCTTACCTTTCTCATCGCACAGTCCTGCGTAGTATAGCAGGAGTATCTGCTATAGTATCCGGGACAAATATTTGGGGGGCAATTTCCAAGTACCCGTTCGGAATTGATCGACGTAAGGTTGCGTAAGGTATTCGTACGAGTGTAATGTCGAGTATGTCGGGTCTGTGGCGAGCGTGAGTCGGAAAGTGGGTGGGGGATGAAGGAGCGGTAACGGAATAGTCTGAGTGTTGTACGTGGTCAAAGAGGGTACGGCCGGCCGCGTTTGCCGAGTGGCTGTGCCACAGCGGGTGTTTGGCGTTGAAGTCGCCTGCCGAAATTTGCCATTCCGCACTTTGGGTTAGTAAGTCTAAGTCGTTTGTTGTGAGTGTAGCNCGCTGAAATAAGTATTTCGTGGTTGTTAAGTTTGACAAGGACGGAGGAGGTTTGAATAGTTGTGTTTAGAGACATAGGTTGGTGAACGATGCGTCGATGGATAAGAACGGCAGTGCCGCCGTGAGGGGGCGAGCCACGGATGGACGGTACGTCGTTTCTGTAAGTGAAATAGTTAGGAATCTTTAGCGCAGTAGAAGGAGATAGATGAGTTTCGTTTAGTAAGATTATGTCGGTTTTGAGAAGTGTCAGTCTAGTGTTATATCTAAAACCATTTTATAGTAAATCGTTATTTTACACTTGAATTTAAAATTTTAAACGCTCGTAAAATTTTTTTATTGACTTAAGCTAGATTTGTTTTTATAATTATTTTGAGCAATAATGTATTTTTATTTCAGTGTCCTTCTAGCACAGACGAATTGAAGAAATATGCAGATCAATTTGCATTAAAATGGCAATTCCCACATTGCTTTGGAGCAATTGACGGCAAACATATTATTATAGTGGCTCCACAAAATAGTGGAAGCCTTTACTATAACTATAAGAACACACACAGCATTGTTTTGATGGGAGTTGCAGATGCCAATTATAAATTAATTTATGTTGATGTTGGTTGTAATTTTTAGAATTTCTGACGGAGGGGTGTTCAATAACTGCTCCCTACACGATGCTTTGGAAAGCAAACAGTTAACTCTTCCCGAACCAGAAGCACTACTCAAAGACATTCGCCAGTTCCATACATAATGGTAGCAGATGATGATGCCTTTGCTATGACGTCATACATTTTAAAGCCCTATGGGTTCCGAAATCAACCTGCGCCGAACCGAATTTTTAACTATAGACTAAGCAGGGCTAGTCGTATTATAGAAAATGTATTTGGCATTATGTGCAGTAAATTCAGAGTCCTCCGTAAACCAATACATTTAACACCTCAAAAAGTAAAATATGTTACTCTGGCAATATGTGCATTGCATAACTTTTTGATTTCTACATCAAAATATTATTTGTGCCCGGGTTCAGTTGATTCGGAAAATCCTATTACTCGTGAAATTGTAAATGGCGAATGGCGAAATGAACTTCAACCAGAAGGAACATTGTTTCCACTAGAAAGGGGACGGCAGTGGAATTATTCAATATCTCAAAAAGATGTGAGAGACGAATTTAGAGAATATTTTATGACAACTGCTGGTGAGGTTCAATGGCAATATCAATTCTTAAGTTGAATAATTATAAGTACATACAATTTTATTGACATAAATACAAATTATTTAAATATTATACTAACCATGTTTGACGTAGTTTTTGTTGGTATAAAGCAGGGTACAATGAACTTCAATGCAGAGAAAAACTTCCATTTACTTTCATATCTGTCATCTGCACCATCACCACTCTTCACTTTTTTCATCTTTTGAAGTTCGTGTGAAACCTGAAAAGTTCAATTGAATAAAAAAAATATTAAACTACTATATAAACTATTATATAATATTATTAATTATTTTTAAATTATTTTATATTAAATATACAATTTAACAATTAATAAACACACCTGTTTACGTAAGTTATGTATCTTTCTTTGTACCTCATTTACATCACAATTAAATTTTGTCGTGATTTCTTCAAACGCACTTGTTTTCTTGCCACGATTCCTATACAACTTGTGATTAACATTCCACCAATACAATATACCGATACTAATATTTAAAATGATCTAAATTTACGATATTACCTTCCTCCTGATCGTCGGAGGGCTCTCGAGGTTGTGTATTCGATAATTTGATGAAATACACAGTACGATATAAATGTAAATAGTATACGCATATAATTTAATATAATGCAGTCAATAGTACTATATTTTATATTATAATATGTCTTACCTGACTCGCAGCTGTCTCTGGGTTATGCAGTAGGAGTTTTAGGTGACACAAGTTAATTATTTGAAATACTCGAATAAAAATAAAGAAACACACTGATTATTGCTCGTCAAAAGGAGTCCAGTTGTCGCTCGTAGAATTCGGTATAGAGAGGTTGTTGAATTGGAGAGAGGTGCTCATGCACTGATGAGAGGTGACGACGCGGTCAAGCCAGCCAGATTCTCGCAGGCGGTCCCATCAAAGGCCTCCGTGTTTCTAAAGATTTATCGTTATCCTTAGTGATAGAGACTCTTATTGGACCATCCCTTGTATCTAGCTTCGTAAGAAATAGATCGCACAAGTGGCGACAGATGGTCACAACTATGAGTGAGTTTCTACGTGACAAAATAATGCGAATCGTTCTTTTCATCAGTGATCAATGGTATTTATTGGATTTTTAGCGACTTTCTTAGTGCGACAACTCGACCATTATTTATTTTATTGAATAAGTAAATATATACAATTATGATATGTGAGCATATCATTACATATCCTATTTACAATATTATAATATAGCAATGGTACTTACTAAATTGCCTATAGTTTTTCTACCAACGTTGCCTTCAGTAGATAAAAATTTCAATGATTCGAAATATATCCATTTACTTTTGTACATTTCGTCTGCTCCTTGGCCTGTTCTAGTTATTTTTTCTTTCCTAATTTCGCCAGCATGTTGGTTTCTTAAACTGTGTAATTTTTTTTGTATTTCACCTTCACTAGTGTTGAATGGCAAGGCTAATTGGCGAACAGCTTCTCCCCGAGCTAGTTTATCTTTATATTTAATATCTTTAGGATTCCATAAACAAGGATTGTTTTCATAATCAGAGATTAGTTTGTGTGTTTCGTCAATTTTCAATTCTTTTTTTGAGGAAGACATAATACAGTGAAACCTCTATATAGTGGACAGCCACGGGGAATTAAAAATTGTCCACTATAGAGAGTTGTCCACTATTGAGAAAACCTTTACTTAGTGGACATTTTCAAAAAATTACTAAATGTCCACTATAGGGAGACACTATAGGAAATGGGCTATATGTACACTGTATACATATGAACATATACATTGGAATATTAATTTTCTAGAAATAAAATAATTTTTCTATTGTCCATCTCCATTTTTCTGTTAAAACACATTAGCCAATCTGTCATTAAATCTCGATTCATCCATGCCTTATGGTTAGCTTTCCAATTAACACCTAACGTTGATACATTTACACTTTTGAAACAACGTGGTTTTAGTGATTTTCCAATTATTAACGGAGTTTCAAATTCCCCGATCATATTTACACATAGTAAAACAGTTAAACGATCTTTAGCTATTTTACCTCCACGACAAATTTCGTTTTTTAAACACAATGTTTTATCAGGAAGTGCTCGAAAAAATAGCGTAATATTTTTTCAAATTACACGCATCTTGTAAAATGTTATTCACCTATATTTTTCATTAAATTATTTTTAGATAAATTAAAACAAAATATGTATGTACATAATTAAATATTTAAATTTACCTGTGACTTGCTTATGCAAAATCGTTCTGCTAAAACACGAACACTTAGATTTTCTGTTTCCTTGGTTTTAAATATAAACGAATATATAACAGATAAATATAGTGTTTTTATTAAACGTTTTCGATATGTACATTAATTGTGTCCATTTATGAGAGGTAATTTTTAATTTGGTACCAGTTTATTGTGTCCACGTCCACTATTAAGAGTGTCCACTACTAAGAGGTTATAACTCCTATTATGCGCATACATTTTTGCCGGGGAATTTAGAAGTGTCCACTATTGGGAAGGGTCCACTATTGAGAGGTTAATAATTAATTATTAAATATTAAATAAATATTAATTAATAGAGGTTTCACTGTATTAAGTTTTTAATATTTCGTTAAAAACTATACTTAAATTAATTTAAAAAGTGTAAAACATTTTTTTTCAGTGTTAATTATTATTAATAAATAATTTAAATATTTAATAATAAATATTTAGACAAAACTGTACAATGTGACTGTCAATTGTTTCGATTCAACAAAAAAGCTTACAGTCGATCAATTCCACAGTTGACGGTTATTTCGGACATGTTCAGACCGGCACAAGAATTGTCACGAGAGTTGTGTCGCGAAAATTGGATAAGTGTACGACAGAAATGTAAACAATCGTTCATACATTGACAGTTTACTGTCATACAGTTATTTCGTGAAAAAAATGTCATCATGTCATGGCCACCAGTCGCTTATGTAGCAAATTCGGAGATAATTTGGAACGAAGATTTTTTGTTGTAGAAAAATGTGATAGAGAAATTTTAATTCCGATTATCGAAAAAGAAATATTACCTGGTTCTATTATAATGTCAGGTGAATGGAGAGCATAATATTCTTGTTTAAAAAATATAAGCTATGATCATAGAACAGTAAACCATTCAAAAAAATTTGTTGATCCAACTACTGGGGCTCACACGCAAGCAATTGAATGTTCATGGGGTATATTAAAAACTAAGATCCTACGAAAAATGCATGGAACATCAGCTGAAATGTTGCCACGTCATTTAATTGAGGCATGGTTATCGATCTATCAACAGGCAAGATACAATTTTTTTTTAATTTTTAAGCTATGTACAAAAAGTGTATTGGCAAACATAATTAAATTTTATGCATTTTTTAAAATTAATTTTGACTGATATTGAATATAATCCGTAATCTGTAATAATAAAATCACTCCTGATTATATAATTTTTAGTTTGAATGTTTTTAAATTAATTATCGGACCGGTAGGTCACGCATACAAAACGATCACCTTGACGGTTAGGTCGACCGGTAGGTCACTTACTAAACGAATACCCATCATGTGTATGCTGTCGTAAATTACAATAAATTGATTAAAATTGTTTTCATTATAAAATAAAATAGATATTGTGGAACAAACATTCTGAATGAATTGAGATTGTTGGTAATCTAGAAACTCTCATCAAATATAAACATATAAACTTTTTTATTATACAGGTATTTAGCTACAGGATGTACATTTGTCTCACTTGGGTTATATTTTTGTCGAGGAGAGTCTACTGTATGTCGTATCGTAGCAGAGACGACTAAGATATTTTGGGAAAAGATGAATAAGGATTGGATGCCGAAACCAAATAAAGCTCAATAGAAACGAATTTCACAACGTTTTGAATCTTTGTGGAACCTCTCAAATTGTATCGGTAGTTTAGATAGTTTGCCGAATACTGATTCGAGTAATTTCAATTGCAAGGCCTATCAAGGCCTATCACTCAATAGTGTTATTAGGGTGTTGTGATGCTGACGGCCTTTTTACTATGATAGAAACTGGATATGCTGGTAGGAACAGCGATGGAGGGATATTTCGAGCTTCAGCAATGAAATATTGGTTAACACGCAAAGAACCTGATATACCTTCACCTTCAAAGCTACAATATGACGAAAATGACTGCGAATTTCCTTATTATTTTGTGGGTGATGAGGCATTTCCATTATCGACATATTTGATGAGACCCTACCCAAGAGGAAATCTTAACTACATACAAAGAGTATTCAACTATCGACTAAGCCTTGGTAGAAAAACGATAGAGTGTACATTTGGAATGATGACAGAAAAATTTCAAGTTTTAAGTACTGCCATTCGTTGCCATGATGTTGGTAAAGTCAATGACATTATAAAATCATGTTGTATTCTACACAATTTTGTACGAAAAGAGAAGGAACTCAATATACAACTCAAGATTTTGGAAATGTCGATCGTCGTAACACCGTTGACCTTACTAATGGTTTTTCATTAGGTGAACATACAGACACAGTAAATGAACACTTAACAGCTTATTCATTAAGACGTTATTAGGCAAGATATTTTATTACTCCACAAGCATCGATTCCATGGCAATGGAATTCTTGTATTTAATGTTTGTGTTTATTAATTAATATTAGTTTTCACATATAGTCGATATTACATAATATAGAAATATAACTCAACCATACTCAATTAAATTTAAAATTATTTAAAATGTACTTACTTCAATTATACTTAATTTATACTTTAAATTAAACTTGATAATGTTGTTATACATTAGGTAATCAAATAATCGTTATATTGGTAATTTAAGAATTCACAAATAAACAATTTACCATCACATTTATTACGTTTTACTTTATTTGTAATTTGTATTATTTTCGTATACAAATGGGAAAATTAAAATATGTAGTAATGGCCATAATAATATCTATCAATTAATAATAATATGGACATATTAAATAGGTACCTTTATAAATTTATAATATACATACAGCAGTGAGCTCAATAATTTATTATTAAATAACATTGTACATAATAACGATGTCACCGATACGGATATCTATAAACTCCATTATATTTAGGTCCATAAATAAATCTCTCCATTGAATACTATTAATATAGTGTTTAATTATAGTTATTAGTTGGTACTTGGCCACTAGGAGTATTATTATAGGTATTGTACGTATTTATTTCGTGTGTCATTAGTGATCCAAGGAGTCACATGGCTGCAAATCAGAATTGAATTTAGGGAATAGAAACTTATGAAATCAATTTGTAAAAATGTTATTAATTTTATTAAGAAAATATAATAATTAAAAAAAAAAGAAATGCAAATTAAATAATTTTCTATGTTTAAATCACATACATACCTATTCTAAGTTTAATATATATATATGTTACCGTATATGCCCGATCACTAGGTAAACCTAGGTTTTACTAGTTAATGCTACGTTTTACTGGTTGTACTCAGTAAATGCTGATATTCTTAATTTTATTCGGGGTTTTACTGAACACGTTATGTTCATCCTAGGATGTACAAATTGACTTAGTAAAAGCTGATCAATATTACACGACACATAACATTTAAAGTCGCGTTCTCATGAGTCAAGTTTAGTTGACCGATTATAGTTGATCAACAAAAATTGAATATAAGTTGAATCAGTTTTTGTTCACACATTTCAACAGAACATGTTTCAATTTTATTTTCAACTCGGTTGAAAAGTCACGGTCGACACGATATCACTGTCAATACAATTGAAAATGGCGTCGAAAGCAGTTGTATGTGAAATTGTAAATACAATAAGTATTTTAGTTAAAGATGAATAAAAAACGATTTTTATTAATATGTGTAAAAATAGCAAAAAACGTCGTTTTTGGGTGAGACAATGGATATTAAGAAGAAATCAATTGGAAGCATCAAACACTTTACTTAAAGAACTAGCATTAGAGGATAAAGAAGGGTATAGAAATCATTTGAGAATGTCTGAAGAAAAATTTAACGAACTGTTGTTCAGAGTTCAGGATCGAATAAAAAAACAGATACAGTGATGCGACAAGCATTATCACCAAAATTAAAACTACAAGTAACTTTAAGGTACTTATCTACAGGTGATTCGTTTTCAACGCTCGCTTCCATATACTGAGTACCTAAAAACACAATTTCAAATTTTTTGTTGGAAGTTTGTACAGAAATTTACGATGTTTTAAATGAATTTATTAAAGTAAGTATTATATTTTATTCATAAAAATAACACATTTTAGTTTATTGACTTATAGATATTATTTATAGTTATCATTTAAAATATCATTAAGAGCTTTAGCAAGTATATCAGATGATTGTAGCGTATCCTCTCCACATTCTTGTTCAGTGCATGGTGGATTTGAAACTGAGAATGACCAATATTCTTCTTCTGCAGTGTTTAAACAAGCAGGTGATGGAGTGGTTTGACGAATTGATGAAATCCCTGATGAAAGAGTTGTGTGACACGAGGACTGTCTTGTTAAAAGTTCCAATCGTTTTTGTCTCATGATAGGTAGTTTGAATTTGTTCCTGACACATAATAGCATCATACAAAGCCATCTCTTTTAGTTGTACAGCGACATGTTTACCAAATATGTCAAATTCATTATCAGTCTCATTTTTATTATTTTGCACAACATTATCAAGTTTATCGATTACTGTACTTATTGAGGAAATATTGTCATTTAACATTTTCCGCTTGCGATTCTGAGGAGTACGAAAGACATTTTTCTTTTTGAAAGTATTGGAGTTGACGGATTGGCAGTTTCTATGTTTTCCATATGCATCACTTCTTTCTGTGTAGTAACATTTCCGATAAAAGCAGATGATGATGTTGATTCATCTGGGTTTTCTAATTCATTTTCTGTCAGTTCACTTTCAGCTTCATCATGTTGTTTTAAATTCTAAAATAAAAAAAAGTGGTCAAGTGGATGTCACTCTGCTGTACAGTAGATTACAAGCAGGTCACTGTATGGTGGATGGTATTCAATTTGAATACAATGATATAATATCATATAAAACGATTCTGAGTGGAGGCGGTATGTCAGTCAAGGTATACGAACAAAAATATTTCACGAACATTTTGATAATTACTGAATTTTTTACTTTTGACCCCCAAATTACCATATAGATTCACTTTCCTATCAAAAAAAAAGGTACTATTTAAGAAAATCTAAGCATTTTTACTGTCCTAAAACGTCATGACAGACACAAAAAAAAAAATAAAAAAAACATACATCATAGTAAAACCAATACATTCATCGCTCCGCTCAAAATCTATAAGTTTTATTAAATTATTAGATCTTATGGAAACTTATAATAAAATTATAGGTAGCAGTTTATGAAAAAAAAAAATGTTATACCTATTTGTAATTTCGTTACAGGTACCACAAATAGAAGAAGATTGGGAGGTTATTCAAAAAGAGTATTACTTTCGATGAAATTTTCCTAACTGTTGTGGCGCAATGGACGGAAAACATATTGTTATACGAAATCCCCCTCATAGTGGATCAGAGTATTTCAATTACAAAGGCACTTACAGCGTTCTTTTGCTTGCATGTGTTGATGCTAACTATTGCTTTCGTTATTTCAATGTCGGTACAAATGGACGAGCAAATAATGCTGCTGTTTTTGCAAAATCATCATTGAATGTAGCATTAGAAGATGTTGAAAATATATTACGTTTTCCCAAAAATTGAGTATTAGTAGCAGATGATGCTTTCCCAATAAAAAACTACATTTTAAAACCGTTTGGAAGAAGTAATAACTTATCGAGAAAACAAACAAATCTTCAACTACCGTTTATCGCGAGCACGTCGAGTAGTAGAAAATGCATTTGGCATTTTGGTTTCTAGATTCAGAGTTTTCGAGCTAACTATAGCGGTTGGAATTAATAAAGTGGACGGAATTATTAAAGCAGCTTTAGTATTACACAATTGGTTAAAAATGACTTCAAGTCACCTACAATACACACCTACAGGCTACGTGGATACTGAAGATCTAACTACTAAGAGTATTATACAGGGTACTTGGAGAACACAGAATGCTTCTTGGAATGGTTTACATAATTTACAAGTTCATACAAATCGTAATTACACGAGATCGGCGTATAATGTGCGTGATGAATATACCGATTATTTTTCTGGAGAAGGGGCTGTATCTTGGCAACTGGATATGATACATGAATGAATGAGTTTTATATATAAATATAATAATTGTATTATAATTTTTATAATATGTAATAGTTTTTAATAATAATTTAATTATATACATAAACAATAATTTTTTAATAATAATTGAAATATAGGTATACCTATATTATTATTATTAGTATTTTTAGTATAATTAGTATAGTATTAGTATTATTATTATTAATTATTATAGTTATTATATAACTATTTAAGAATAAAAAGTATACTTACAAAATTTGATGAGGTGTCTCTTGAATTTGTAACATTATTTAGAGATAGAACTGCTGTTTTGTACCAAAACAACTTCGGCACGTATATTTCATCTGTACTCATACCACTTTTTTTTTTATTTGCAAACCAATGAATGTTCTTTTTTATGCATTGTTTTAATTGTCTTAATTTTATTCTTTAGATCAACAATTCTGGAACTTTAATTTCCAGTTATTTAATTTTTTGTAATTTAATTTTCTGTTTCTTTATTTTTCTGTTAAATTTACTTTATGGATTTCTAACGTTTGCACCGTTTATTTTCTGGAACATTACGGGCGCCCCACTGCACATGCGCACTAGATGATACAATACTCTATATATTACTGTAACGAAAACCGCACCACCCACCCGCATCAAACTTGGATGTTCAGTCTATTAGTGTAATGTCTATGGTCCCCACTTAGGCACTTCCCGATAACAAGTCGCAAGTCGCACGCAATTACGCACACACACACTGACAACGAAATAATGATAATCATGAAATAATAATTTACAGTCAAGAACGCCGAAAATCCCCACGTATCTTTATTCATTATTAGGCCCGTTTCACATGGACGCGTATCGTACGCGCGCTGATGAAACGCGCATACGACGCGTATCAAAACGCGACACTCTGTTGTATTCACATGTATGCGTACCATACGCGAAACGCGGATCAAACTGACCCCGGGGAAATTTTGTCATTTAAAGTTTAACTTCGGTATAGACAACACCTATAATAACACTTAATACAACTTAGTACAAGTTAATTAAAATAAAAAATGAATAATCAAAGAGAAAAGCGGCTTATACTTTTTACGGGGTATTATTATT